GCTGGTCTTATAATGATATAAAAGAAATCATCACTCAGAAGTAAAAAGTCTATTAAGAAATTTGATAATTAGAACAGATTGCAATCATTAGTGTTGGGCTTAGTCTTTATCGATAATTAAATATAAACAGCAAATTATCTATGACACGTCGACGCCGAATGTCATCGGAACAATGCCATTGACATTTCACGTCAACACACACATTATCGAAGTAACCCTTCTATAATTACGAACGAAAATAATACATTTAATAATGACATGTTGTCGTGCTGTTGCGAAATACTGTGAACATATTATTTATTATTGTATTTCTTCATACAAACCTACAAGCCTAGTAAGCTGAAGTGGCAGTGGGCTGGTCACATAGCTCGAAGAACCAACAACTGATGGAGAAGAAATGTTCTTGAGTAAAGGCGACCGCGTACGTGCAAACACAGTCTAGGACGACCACTCACTAGATGGAGTGACGACCTGAAATGCATTGCAGGGAATCAGTGGATGCAGGTGGCTCAGAATCATTCTTTACGGCAGTCTATTGGGGAGGCTTATGTCCAGCAGTGGACTAATAATAGCTGAAATGATGATGATGAAATACAAACCTACGAAATAAATGTGTTTATAAAAGGTGTAAATTTAAAAGATAACAGTATCATTACCTATAATAAACATGTATTTGTGTAATCAATTACATGAGTCAGATAAAGGAAAGGTTAGGTGTTATTTTAAATAGGAGAATAAAGTGTCATCTTCGTCATCATATCAGCCTTTAACTGTCCACTGCTAAACATAAGCCTCCCCTGTTTTTGACAGCAGTTGTCACGTTTGGCAGGTAGAGTGCCAACCGCAGTTAGACTTTAGAGATGTTTTAAGAGGGACACTGCTGCCCATCACTCGCCCTCTCTTAGTCGACCTTTACGATACCCACTAGATAGAAAGAGATGGCCTATTCTATGCCGGGACCATACGGCTTAACATGAACAAAGTATATGTTAAGCCGTATGGTCCCGATTTAGCCTACGATTGAAATAACTTGAAAAGAATGCGCAAATTAGTTACACCGATAAAAGAAAATTTCTAATATATGAAAATCAATATATTTTTTACAAAAAATGTTAGTCTCATATTACTGGTGATGCAGGTGGTTCAGGACCGTTCCTCATTACAGTCTATGGGAGAGGCTTATGACCAGTAGTGGACAAAATTGGCTGATATGATGATGATGATAAGTCTCATATTTTAACACAGAATAGATATCAAATTAACATAATTTGCCGTGTGGTCCTGGCATAGAATGGGCAACCCCTTTTTATCCCGTGGTACCGTAAGAGGCGATTAAAGAAGCGCGAGGGAAGGGTAGCATCGTACCTCAGTGTCCTCTTAAAACATTTCTAAAGCCTAACTGCGGTTGCCAATCCGCATGCCAAGCATAGCAACTACTGGTAAAACTCCTCAGCAAGAGACTTATGTTCAGCAGTGGACAGTTAAAGGTTGATATAATTATACGATGAGTTTTTTTTATACAACTTAGAATGGCAAACAAGTTGACGGCCCACCTGATGAAAAGTGGTAACCGTCGCCTATAGACATGAGCAGTACCATGGACATAACAGAGTATACTGTTTCGCCCATGATACCCCCCATGCGTTGCCATTCTTGAGGACTCAGGTGTTATTCCTCTGTATCCTGTAAATTGAATGAGATATAAAATTTAATATTTTGTTACCGTGTCGATGAAATTTGGGCAAATAAAAAAAATATCTAATTTCATAACAGAAACCCTATCATACAAATATATTATCAAGAATATATACGAGTGATTTGATTTTATCTACGCCTATTTATTATGAAAATAGTTTTCTTAGAACTGCGAAGTAAAAACAATTTAAAAGAAAGTGCTTAATTTTTCAATCAGATATTCCTTATCTGCATTTGTTTTTGTATGACACAGTTTCTAAAGATACCTACTGTTTTTATAAGTCTACATGAATTACTAATTAATACCTACTTATCTATTCTGACAATGTATTATTCTTTAAGAGATATCGACAATTTTATTGCGGGCACGAGTGTCGTCACAACACTATTCCGAAGTGCGTATTTGGCATAATCTTTCTTTCCCTTCGTCTCAGCCCCATATTGTTTTTAAGTTATGACAGTTTTGGACAATGGCACGGAAATCCAGAGGAAAGTTATTGTTTCCACTTGCACAAACCGAACTTATCTAACCATAGCTGGAAATAAAGTGAAATAAATTGTGGAGGTGCACATTTTTTTTATTTCTTCGCGCGTTTTGCGATGACTCGCAAATTGCATGCAACGGAACATGAAAGGGATTGAGTTTTTTAATGTGTTCGAATTTTAAAACGATGTCATTTATGATATATTTTATAAATCGTATTCAGTTTTGAATATGGAACGTTCACGATATTTAAATTTATTTTCGTGTCTTGTTTTTTATTGCCCGTACAATATAAGACATATTCTGAAAAATATGCTTGTTTATTGTTGGTTTGTGTTGCTTAACAAAATAAAGAAGTATTACTTATCTTTGCTTCTAAGACAGCCCGTCTTAACAGCGAGGCACTCATATACATACGCGTGCACACACACACACACATGCACGCACACACGCACGCACACACGCACGCACACACGCACGCACACACGCACGCACACACGCACATGAATAAACGTTTTGATTGTTAGTTATTAATTAATTAATAATCTATTTCATATATATGTTAATTTGTTTTATCAAATACATCTAATTCTTATTAAAAATCACCAAAGACTGTATTTTAAGAATATTAAACGTCTCTGCCTACCCCAATATTTGTCGAGTCAAGAAAACGGTAACAACATACTAATAAATTTTTTATCATTTCATATAATACCTCTTAGACACATAACCATATTAAATAAAAGCCATTACACTCCTTCATTTGACAGTTGAGTAAATAGAATTAAAAAAATTAATGGCACTACAATCGAATTTAAACTTTAACCATAAACATAAAATCAACAAAGTCCTCAGTGGAAAATAGAATTTCATTAATTTAATCACGAACTGGCCCCCCTGCCCTCCCCTCCCCTCCGCTCCCAGCGAGGGGGTCGTAGGGTGGCTCACGGAGCCCTAATAGTCATTGATAAAGCTCTCCATTCAATGGGAAGAACGACCAATTGATAAAGAGCCCAGGATCCCCTCATTCCTCCATACGAAATAGCCCTCTCTTTCGAAAACCCAAGGACCTAGTTATATTGGACATTGCCTCTTAAAATATGTCCAGGTTATAATGAACTCTGTTTATATGAACGCCCCTATGAATACACAGGTCAAGTTACACCAGACAACGTAGTTAGGTAAGAAAGTATTTTTTTTATTTTCTATTCCAAATTGTTTAGTACAGAGATTGGAAACTTGGCAGTTTTGCAACAAGGGTGAATATTGTATACAAAAAATTAATTTATACTTGGGTATCGCCAAGGTATAATAGTATTTTATTAAAATTACTGTAAAAACTTTATCGATAATCAGTTCAGTGAAATAATAATTGAACTATCTTTTTTTTTTATACAACTTAGAATGGCAAACAAGCTGACGGCCCGCCTGATGGAAAGTGGTAACCGCGCCTATAGACATGAGCAGTACCACGGACATAACAGAGTATACTGTTTCGCCCATGATACCCCCATGCGTTGCCATTCCTGAGGACTCAGGTGTTATTCCTCTGTACCCAGTAAATTCACGCCATATCCCACCCTTGAAACCACACAGCCATGCAAACACAACTGCTTCACGGTTGAAACACGACAGAGGGATAGAGGTACCCAAGCAATGGACTTTTGTACAGTCTCCCATTCATCAGAAAATTTAAGAATTGTGATAATATGTTTGTTTGTTACTTCTAAGCTCCTTTACAGCATAACTAATCACTATGAAATTAAGTGTATACGTACCTACTATATGGGATAGAGAATGACATAGGCTACTTTATATCCTGATCAGTAAACACATACCGGTTTCACAGACAAAGTCGTGGGTAAAAGCTAGTGAAGAATAAATACCTTATACCCATACCACATACCTTATGTGTACTTTGTATATAAATAAATAAAAATAGCTATATAATAACAGATAGGGTAGTCAGAGATTTGACCTGCCACATCTCAATTATTGGAACAACCATGGTATGGCACGAAATGGAACAATAGTGAAAAGTGTTTTAAAAAACATCTAAAGGGACAACTCAAAATATTGCGGGGAAAGGGATTGTTAGTAATGGAGACTGAGAATCCCATTGCTAGCAATATACCCAACCAGGTCGACCTCCTCGCGGTTCTCCCTGGAAACTATCATGGTTAATTCCCGATGAATTCATCATGATGGGGTAAGTGGCCTGTTTTCATTCTCATCGATCATCCTTCACTGGTGCTCCGTCAGCGTAACCCGTTAGCGCAGGTGGGGTTACCATTCCATTTTCACCCATAAAAAAAAAACTCTAAATATTTAGACTTAAGCTTATTAAAAAAAAATCCTAAATTGACTCAACTGATCGAATGATGAATCGAGCCCGGGACCGTATTACGCAAAAGAATGTACCTACCGTTGCCCAATCAATGGAGGTTGTTAAAAAAGTTTTTTTAATACTGCCTAAATTCGAAATCACGACCAACGAGGTCTTAATGCTCTCAGAAAATAGTATTTGTCGACTTTTACCTCTCTATTCTCTATATCTCTCTTCTTATCTATCTCTCTATTCATAGTGTGATAACATATACGTAGTTTGTATTCGAACCGAAATAGTACATGTTTAGTAAACCACATCTAACTAGGTAGGCCAAGTAGGAAATCTATAGTTGTATAGTTGTGTACCTACGAACTAAAACGTGCTAGAAATATGCAAGATTACATAAAATATTCAGTGCGCGCTCGACTCAAAACAATGGGTGCCAGGCGAATGCAAACAGGGCTTGGAGGCGAACCTGCTACGAACTACACAACGAGACGTAGGTAAACATCGCGAGCGGGCGAACACTGCCGATCGCGGCCGAGCGTGTGCCGAACACGCGCACCCACCCGCCGCGCCGCTCCACCCCGCCCCACAGTCACTGTTCGCGTTTCGGGCCGAACGTGCGCGGCGCGGCACGAATTCGCGCTCTCCGCTCACATTCGAAAATAGAACGATTAATTTTTTTTTTCTCAATTTTAATCTAAACACATGTACGCACAGCCCAATTTCTAATGATCAAAATGGCCGATGTTGAATGGACAAACGAATTAGTTATAAAACTAGTGGAGGAATATAGTAAGAAACCGGAGCTATGGGACAATACGCACAAGTGGTACCGAATGCACACAGCTAAGTACGAAGCGTGGACTGATTTGGCGAATATGTTTGACTGTGACATCGCCGATTTAAGGAAGAAATTAAACTCGATATTCGCATCGCACAGGCGCGAAAAAGCGAAAGTTCGGTGCGGCGGGCGCTCGCTGTGGTTTCTTTACAACCATCTGAAGTTCCTGCCGAATCATTTGGACAACGATAACAATCCGGATGCCGTTGTTATGGTAATTAACCTTTATGTTATTCGCGTTAGGTTCACTAAACCAAACATTGTTACTTTTTTTTTGTTTTCTTTTTAATTAATTGTTTTCTTTGATTAATTATGCGTTAACGATTAAGTTAAGTGATTGAGTTAAGTGGATTTTCAGTATTTCAATTAGATTAACAGGGGGGGAAAGGGATTGTTATCAATGGAGTTTGACAGCCCCATTGCTAGCAATATGCCTTATTAGGTCGACCTCCACGTGGTTCCCCCTGGAAACCATCGTGAGAAGTTCTTGTTGAATTCGTCACGATGGGCTAACTGACCTGATTCATCCTCGCCTATTATTCTTCACTGGTGCCCCGCCGGTGTATAGCGATAGCGCGGGTGGGGTTACCATTCCATTTTCATCCATTAAAAAAAAACTAGATTAACAAAATATATGTATAATTGTATAAAAGGGCGTGATAATATAGGCAGAGAGAGTCTTCTAATTTAATTTCTTTTATATTAATACAGAAATAGGCACATATATGTGTATTATTTTTGTTTGGACTCTTTGCCCAGATATCTATTTTTTTTTAATGGGTGAAAATGGTATATAAAATAAAAATCGGTAAAAAAACTTTTAAGTTAAACGGTTTTATTTTATGTGCACTGAAAACTACAAAATAAATAAATAGTTACTTACCTATCAACCTACGTAGGTGATCTCGGTCATTAATATCTCTGATGGTAGTGGTTGTCATAGCATGAACCATGTCAGCGGCTGAAAGGCAGTTCATGAGAGAACACTGACACCAGGGTTTGCTTGGTAGGTAAACTAAGCAGCCCACAATATAACAAGTAGGTATTTTGACCTTCTAGTTCAGAAATATTTTAGTACTAGGCAGAATAGCTTTTAGGCATATTAGACTAAAATAAAAACGTGGGGCCCATTAACTATTTCTGTATTACTTTCTACTAAACTAAGTGTGGATTGCATCGACTTATTATAATCGTCATCATCATCATCCTAGCGGTTTATCCCGGTCGCATCCGAAACCTCATAGCTCCGGAGTCCAGGGTCCGCTGAATCGACTTACTATAATCGTTACTGGAGGTTTTGACCATCAATAACCAGCCGTTACGGCTTCACCAGCGAACGCCGAGCTCATGATCTACCAAAGTATAAGATATGCTCTGCTATAGGTATGATTTCAGAGGGGCCCCACGTTTTTATTTTAGTCTAATATGCCTAAAAGCTATTCTGCCTAGTACTAAAATATTTCTGAACTAGAAGGTCAAAATACCTACTTGTTATAGTGTGGGCTGCTTAGTTTACCTACCAAGCAAACCCTGGTGTCAGTGTTCTCTCATGAACTGCCTTTCGGCCGCTGACATGGTTCATGCTATGACAACCACTACCATCAGAGATATTAATGACCGAGATCACCTACGTAGGTTGATAGGTAAGTAACTATTTATTTATTTTGTAGTTTTCAGTGCACATAAAATAAAACCGTTTAACTTAAAAGTTTTTTTACCGATTTTTATTTTCTTGTTTTTAGTTTTTAGTAGTGAAATTGTTTACCGAATATTCCTCATTCTATTTAATTCATTCAGTGCATCATTATTACATGGTTTCTTACCTGATAATTTAGTACAATCTAATTCCTCAATACATAGCCCTTCCAGAGACTTGACTCGACTTAGAGCCACGTACGCTTGTCCTTCCTCAAACCATTTTGAGCCCAAATATACTACTGCATGGTCGACGGTGCTGCCCTGCATTTTATGGACGGTGAATGCTCATGACAAAACTAAGGGCAACATCCTTTTTCAGCCGTACCATAACTGAATTTTGCTGGAAACTGTATGGCTTTAAGGTAAATAACGTGCATGCCGTCTGTGCCAAAGTCAATTAAAACTGATGATATATCTGTTTCGTACATTTGGGTTCGACGGAACTGAGACCAAAAAATTTCTGTAATGTGGCCTATAGCGTCATTTACCAATCCTTTTGTAACGTCAATGTTGGGCCGCAACATTACTTTTGCACCTACAAATATTTCAAGTACTGATGGTAAGCCTCCAGTCTTATTTATATTTGTTGGTATTTTTTGTTTATTGTTACCATGTTGTTCCCACGATTAAGGGGCATTTTGACGGTCGACCTCCCCCCCTCCCCCCCCCCCTCCGCAGTCCAGTAAAGGGGCAAGGCTTAATATACAACAAGATGCGCCCAATCTTGAGGGGGAAGCGCTTACGACATTACATTTTTATCCACCCTAATGCCATACAGTCCTCGGCACGTTTTAACCTATTACCTTAACTTGGGTGGTATAACTACCGCTTACTAACGAGGTATCTAATTACCTATTTTTTTATCTGCCCCTCTAACGTCACACAATCTTAGACGCAACTGTTCTCGATACGACTAATCATGCCCCCACCTAATACGCCATTTTGTAACAGCGTCCATCTTGAATTTGAAATTTTGACATAATGACAGTATTCTGCAGTGTAGTCCTATTATTTGATACCCATGTTGTGGTGGTTGTGGAAAAATATGTACCTAGTCCGCCATATGGGAACGGCGTCCATCTTGAATTTTAAATTTTGACATAATCATCGTGTTTTACTAGTGTAGCCCTTTCATTTGATACCCATATTGCGGGGTTAAGGAAAAATATGTAATCCGCCATTTTGTATCGGCGGCCATCTTAGATTTATAATGTTATTGATTTTATTATATTGTATTGTCATCTAAATTAAATGTGTGTACCAAATTTCAGATCAATCTGACAACGGGAAGGTGCTTAAATTCCAATTTCTAATTTTGACCCAAATAAATAAATACCGTACAGGTCGAGCTAAATAAAACCGTTTAATAATAAAAATAATCACAACTAATTTAAAGCAATTGTGAATAGGCTATTCTCGGGTCCACAAGCTTCGTCTAAGACCACATCATCACCATCCATCTGGTGAGATGTGTGTCTAGTGTCTGAGTGTCTTGTGTCTGAGTGTCTAGTGTTTAGTGTCTGAGTGTCGAGTGTCGAGTGTCGAGTGTCCGAGTGTGTAGTGTCTGGGTGTCTGAGAGTCTAGTGTCTGAGTGTCTTGTATCCGAGTGTCCAGTGTCTGTATGTCTAGTGTCTGGGTGTCTGATTGTCTAGTGTCTGAGTGTCTAGTGTCTGAGTGTCTAGTGTCTGAGTGTCTAGTGTCTGAGTGTCTAGTGTCTGAGTGTCTAGTGTGTGAGTGTCTGAGTTTCTGTAGTGTCTTCGAGTGTCTAGTGTCTGAGTGTCTAGTGTCTAGTGTCTAGTGTCTGAGTGTCTGAGTGTCTGAGTGTCTGAGTGTCTGAGTGTCTAGTGTCGAGTGTCTGAGTGTCTAGTGTCTGAGTTTCTGAGTGTCGAGTGTCGAGTGTCGAGTGTCGAGTGTCGAGTGTCGAGTGTCGAGTGTCGAGTGTCAAGTGTCGAGTGTCGAGTGTCGAGTGTCGAGTGTCTAGTGTCAGTGTCTAGTGTCTGGGTGTCTGAGTGTCAAGTGTCTGAGAGTCTAGTGTCTGAGTGTCTTGTATCCGAGTGTCTAGTGTCTGAATGTCTAGTGTCTGGGTGTCTGAGTGTCTAGTGTCTAAGTGTCGAGTGTCGAGTGTCTAGTGTCTGAGTGTCGAGTGTCTAACGTCTGGGTGTCTGAGTGTCAAGTGTCTGAGAGTCTATTGTCTGAGTGTCTTGTATCCGAGTGTCTAGTGTCTGGGTGTCTAGTGTCTAAGTGTCGAGTGTCGAGTGTCGAGTGTCGAGTGTCGAGTGTCAAGTGTCGAGTGTCGAGTGTCGAGTGTCTAGTGTCTGGGTGTCTGAGTGTCAAGTGTCTGAGAGTCTAGTGTCTGAGTGTCTTGTATTCGAGTGTCTAGTGTCTGAGTGTCTAGTGTCGAGTGTCTGAGTGTCTAGTGTCTGAGTGTCTGAGTGTCTAGTGTCTGGTGTTTAGTGTCTGAGTGTCGAGTGTCGAGTGTCGAGTGTCGAGTGTCGAGTGTCGAGTGTCGAGTGTCGAGTGTCTAGTGTCAGAGTGTCTAGTGTCTGGGTGTCTGAGTGTCAAGTGTCTGAGAGTCTAGTGTCTGAGTGTCTTGTATCCGAGTGTCTGAGTGTCTAGTGTCTGGGTGTCTGAGTGTCTAGTGTCTAAGTGTCGAGTGTCGAGTGTCGAGTGTCGAGTGTCGAGTGTCGAGTGTCAAGTGTCGAGTGTCGAGTGTCGAGTGTCGAGTGTCTAGTGTCTGAGTGTCTAACGTCTGGGTGTCTGAGTGTCAAGTGTCTGAGAGTCTAGTGTCTGAGTGTCTTATATCCGAGTGTCTAGTGTCTGAGTGTCTAGTGTCTGGGTGTCTGAGTGTCTAGTGTCTGGGTGTCTGAGTGTCTAGTGTCTAAGTGTCGAGTGTCAAGTGTCGAGTGTCGAGTGTCGAGTGTCGAGTGTCGAGTGTCGAGTGTCGAGTTTCGAGTGTCGAGTTTCGAGTGTCTAGTGTCTGAGTGTCTAGTGTCTGAGTGTCTAGTGTCTGGGTGTCTGAGTGTCAAGTGTCTGAGAGTCTAGTGTCTGAGTGTCTTGTATCCGAGTGTCGGAGTGTCTAGTGTCTAGTGTTTAGTATCTGAGTGTCGAGTGTCGAGTGTCTAGTGTCTAGTGTTTAGTGTCTGAGTGTCTAACGTCTGGGTGTCTGAGTGTCAAGTGTCTGAGAGTCTAGTGTTTGAGTGTCTTGTATCCGAGTGTCTAGTGTCTGAGTGTCTAGTGTCTGGGTGTCTGAGTGTCTAGTGTCTAAGTGTCGAGTGTCGAGTGTCGAGTGTCGAGTGTCTAGTGTCTGAGTGTCTAGTGTCGAGTGTCTAGTGTCTGGGTGTCTGAGTGTCAAGTGTCTGAGAGTCTAGTGCCTGAGTGTCGTGTATCCAAGTGTCGGAGTGTCTAGTGTCTAGTGTTTAGTATCTGAGTGTCGAGTGTCGAGTGTCTAGTGTCTGAGTGTCTAGTGTCTGGGTGTCTGAGTGTCTAGTGTCTAGTGTTTAGTATCTGAGTGTCGAGTCTCGAGTGTCGAGTGTCTAGTGTCTGAGTGTCGAGTGTCTGAGTGTCTAGTGTCTAGTGTTTAGTGTCTGAGTGTCGAGTGTCGAGTGTCGAGTGTCGAGTGTCGAGTGTCGAGTGTCGAGTGTCGAGTGTCGAGTGTCTAGTGTCTAGTATCTGAGTGTCGAGTGTCTGAGTGTCTAGTGTCTGGTGTTTAGTGTCTGAGTGTCAAGTGTCTGAGAGTCTAGTGTCTGAGTGTCTAGTGTCCGAGTGTCTAGTGTCTGAGTGTCTTGTATCCGAGTGTCTAGTGTCTGTGTGTCTGTGTGTCTAGGGTCTGGGTGTCTGAGTGTCTAGTGTCTGAGGGTCTAGCGTCTGAGTGTCTAGTGTCCGAGTGTCTAGTGTCTGGGTGTCTCAGTGTAGTCCTATTATTTGATACCCATATTGTGGTGGTTGTGGAAAAATATGTACCTAGTCCGCCATATTGGAACGGCGTCCATCTTGAATTTTAAATTTTGATATAATCATCGTGTTTTACTAGTGTAGCCCTTTCATTTGATACCCATATTGCGGGGGTTAAGGAAAAATATGTAATCCGCCATTTTGTATCGGCGGCCATGTTAGATTTATAATGTTATTGATTTTATTATATTGTATTGTCATCTAAATTAAATGTGTGTACCAAATTTCAGATCAATCTGACAACGGGAAGGTGCTTAAATTCCAATTTCTAATTTTGACCCAAATAAATAAATACCTTACAGGTCGAGCTAAATAAAACCGTTTAAAAAAGGTTCTCATAACGTTACACAAGAATGAAAATATACAGTATTTAAAAAGCAAGAAATATAGATACGCTGGGGGGAAAGGGATTGTTAGTAATGGAGACTGAGAATCCCATTGCTAGCAATATACCCAACCAGGTCAACCTCCTCGCGGTTCCCCCTGGAAATTATCATGGTTAATTCCTGATGAATTCATCATGATGGGCTAACTGGCCTGTTTTCATTCTCATCTATCACCCTTCACTGGTGCTCCGCCAGCGTGTCCCGTTAGCGCGGGCGGGGTTACTACATCATTTTCACCCATCAAAAAAAAAAGTCTAAATAATTATAAATTTTGTTTAAACAGTAACTACGCTAAAATATCAAATTAGAATACTAGGTTTAGAGAAATGACGTTCCAGAATCGGTTCCATTATCTAATTAAAGCAAAAACTGTAGCAAAACGTACTGTTATGTATAATAATACCAAAACTTTATTATATTTTGCTACGTCTATCCGTCTGTGGGAAGGTAACCTAACCTACCCACCTCACTATGTCACGGCTTCTGGGCCCATAACTCGTAAACGAAATGGCTTCCATTCCTCGAATATTTTCGGTAAGTTATTAATACTTGTGTAGATATACTATTTTGACCTCTAAAGGTGAAGAAGATTCACCTAAATCGGAATATTGAGTTAAAGATAACAGGTAATATTATACTACAATATATTAATAATACTATATACCAGAGGGAGACTTTGTACAAAAGTCGATTGCTTGGGTACCTCTGTCCCATTCGTGTTTCAACCGTGAAGCAGTTGTGTTTGCATAGCTGTGTTTCGGTTTGAAGGGTGGGATATGGCGTGAATTTACTGGGTACAGAGGAATAACACCTGAGTCCTCAGGAATGGTAACGCAGGGGGGGTATCATGGGCGAAACAGTATACTCTGTTATATCCATGGTACTGCTCATGTTTATAGGCGACAGTTACCACTTTCCGTCAGGTGGGCCGTCAGCTTGTTTGCCATTCTTAGTTGTATAAAAAAAAATACCATTAGGCTGTTTAACACCAGATGGAGTTACATTCAGACGAGTAAAAAACGAATGGGTTTCTATCATATCTTAGATCAGAGTCATCATCATCATCAACATTCTGGTGTCAGGCAAAAAATATTTACCAATTACTAAGGCCCTAGTGAAGAGTGAGAGGTAAAGATGAAAACAGGCCTGTTAGCTTATCACGACGAATTTCTTAAGAATAAACCATGATGGTTTCCAAGGGGAACCGCGTGGAGGTCGACCTGATAGGATTTATTACTAGCAATAGGGCTGTTGGACCCCATTACTAACATTTCCTTTCTCCCAAGTCACAGTATTTGGGCACAAAACCGATGCAATACCTAAAAGTGTTTATTGATTAAATATAACATTTATACCATTGGTATTAAGATATCAAATAGAATTGTAGATAAGCACTAACCTTGATCGGGTTAGTTCGTACAAAATTATACCTAAGCACCTACCTACCTATATACATATTGTTTACTAGTTGCTACATTCGACTTCGTTTACATAGAACTAAGTTTTATATCCCTTTATTCAAAAATGTTTGATTTGCTATTCAATCTTTTATTTCATTCCCACTGGCTTCTGCTCTCCTAGTATGTAAAATATAGACAACAGTAATTAAAAGAAATTAATATAAAATAGATTTTTTAGGGATATTTTGTATAGAAAGGAATAATAAATGATTAATTTAAAGAAAATATTATAAATTATATAACTTCTTTTAAATTTTTTAAGGATATTTTGGATAGAGGGAGAAGAGGTATAATTGCGGTAGGATCACATAAGGTGTAGTCTAGTAGGACCAGGAGGAAAAATAATTCCTCCTGGTCCTACTAGTAAAAAGAGAAAATTAAGACCACAAGAATATATCTGTTCTACCGTAGGAGTGGTAAAATAACAGTCCACAGGAATGGGCACTAAACTAGCCCATGCGTCGCCATTCCTGAGGATCATCACAGTGTATTTTGTGATATCATATGCAATCACTTTACATTGGATGATCCATCAGCTTTTGCCCTTCTAATTGCAATAAAAAAAATTGTACATTCTTAATAATTCTCGTGGAGGAAAAACTCATGCATTCAAGTCATAAGCGATGTTTGCCATCACTCTCTTTGCGATTCCAAGTAACAAAAAAAAAAAAAAATATATATATATATATATATATATATATATATATATATATATATATATATATATATCTATATAAAAATAGAGAAAAATAACAAGTTTACATTAAAGGCAGAAGGTCAAGTGACTCAGTCACTAATCAGCAAACATTGTAACAATGTTTGCATGTACACGATACGACACAAAAAGTATATCTTACACAAAGCGACCTATAATTTGTCGGCCTGTAATTTCTAGAGTGCTATCATTTGTACGTTTCCATCCAATATTGTTTGCTGTAATAACAGCTAAGGCTTTTAGGCGTTGCTTCTATAACAGACGAGAAAAAAATAAACAGTATAAATTTAACTTTTTTGTTTACCTGTGTTACGTGTTGTTTCCCTGAATATTCTGAATGGCTTCAATAAGGATGGAGTTTCCAATTTGCCTATATTTTTTATGAGTGTAACGTGATTTTCTACCCAATGGTAAACCAAGTTTAGTGATGTTGACATTTCAAGATTTTAAGTATACCTCGAAAACAGTTTTAGTGGTCATTAATTGACTTAGATTAAGGAATAGAATTAATGTTTTCGAGTGCTGATTTGGCGCAAACAAATAAGCAAAGTCAGGCGATCCTTTACTAAAAATAGGGATGACCTCAAATGCATTGCAAAAGTCAGTAAATATAGGTAGCTCAGGACCATTGCTTTTGGCAGTACGTAGAGCCTACGCTCTGAAAAGGTTAACTAATGGCTAAAATTGTGAATGAAGAACAAATCTTTTATTCAAAGACTTTCCTATGTCTTAATCTAAAATTGGAATTGAAACAAGCAAGCGAATCCTCGTTCTTCCTCTACAGCATCAATATTTGTTTAGTATATATAATAAATGTATAATTTTACAAGAATCCTTTCTTCAAAAATAATCATTGTTTATTCTTTCCTTTCTCGTCTACATTCACGAATTGTGTTGGATATTGCGTTTCTTTTAACTCTCGTTCTTTGTTCTTATTAAATAAGAAATTCCATCTTAAGGAAATTTCTATTTGGGAATACGTGACAGATTATAACCTGATTTATATTTACGTATGATATTGTATTTCAGTCATTAGTTATCTTTGGTACAATAACTTACCGATACTATCAATATCTCTAACAGATTAGCTTATCTCTAATGTTACGTAGACAACAGTTTAATTTTTATTTTTAGAATATCTACAACAATGTTTACCTTCAATTTTGTGAAACATTTCACGGCTGCCTGACAATACAATTTTAACAGTAAGCTCCTATCACTTCGCTCCGTTTGAGAACAAAAATAATGTTAGGTGAAGAAACGCTAACCTTAGTTGAGGTCGAAGTACACAATTTACTGAAATTTAATATTTGAAAGTAAAATTAAATTAATCCACCAAAAAATAGTATTATGTACAATTATGTATAGGTAATATTCTTATATAAATGTCAACGTATATTACGAAGACATTGAAAGTTTTAATATTTAAAAAATTTATACAGGTGATTAGAAAATAAATCTAATAGATATTTTTTATTTCAGAAATCAAATAACTCCCGTATAGAAGAGGATTTTGAAGAGCACACATCGGATGACAACAACCATGATGTCGACGAGGACCATGAAGAGATTATCATAAAAGAGGAACCAGTCGTGCAAACGTATGTGAAACCAAAATCATATAAATACACGACTCATAAGCCACGTCTCACGAAAACAATAAAACGTAGAATTATTAGAGAAGCCCCCGCTAATTCGAGCAGCAGAATAGACAGTAAAATTCTAGAAACTTTAAGACTAATACGAAAATCTGATTTGTCACGAAAGAAGGATGAGTGTGACAGTTTCGGCGAATATATTGCTGATTCATTAAGAAAACACGATGATAGAACTCAGTCGATGATAAAACAAGCTATAAATAATATATTGTTTGAGCAAGAAATGAAAAAGTACAGTACTAATCAATATGAAGTTGTTATAACAGGTGTCGACGAGAACCCTTTAATTTTAGGTGATACAGATAGTAATGATAAATAAATAATTTTGTTATAAATATTTTTTTTTTATTCACACACAGTAGGTGAAGTTTTATACATTATGAGAGATGATAGTTGGTAACCTATCTCATGGGACAAGCATTGTCTGTAAACATAACTCTGCCATCGTCATCAGAAACTATGGTGCCCCTGGCGCTACTCACACGTTGGAACTTTGAGGAAAGCATGATTACGCTGGCCTTGTTACCCTTATTAACTTTCATGATAATTACTGCAAAGTGCACATACATAAACTGCAAAAGTTCTTGCGACATAATTATAAGTATACTAAACATCTGTCATAATGTTTAATAAAGTTATATGGATACAGGAAGAGGTGAGAATGATGGACCACATGGCCCTACTAAAATGTCTGTCTAGTGTGACCATAATCTGGTTTTATTTACGTTATTCTTTCAAACCTGGATAAACGTAATGTGTTCGTTTAGGACTTCCGACTATTAGATACAAATAGCCCTGGTTTACTACTACCGGGACTATTATATAAAAATGATATAATTACGAATTAACTCTCGCTATGAGTCGTATAATTAAAAATAAAATCAATTATAAAATATTACCTTTCTTATAACCTTTGTTTATGTCAAATATCAAGAGGCTAAGTTAAGCGGAAGCGTTCTCATCTTTATTATGTTGGCCTTGTCGAAAGGGAGTTTAACTTTTTATTAATTTAATTACCCAGTGAAGCTTATTTACGTTTATTAACTTAATTATTTAAATATTACTGAATAAAAGACCGTAGATCTTAAAATTTGGCATTAATTTTAGCCAGGTCCTTTTAATTCCAGACAACAAAAATTTATAGACAGTCTACAGAATGACCTTAAACAGTTCTAATTTAACTTACTGAGACACGGAACATTAACAAACTTGATATAATTATACGCATCACAGCAATTATGCTAGAAACAAGAAAAAAAAATAAAGCGCATGGAGACACGAGGCGTTAGCAGAATCCACACGCATGTGTGTTTTCTTCAATAAATTTTCCTCAACTTTTTATTAGCACCGATCAATCTAGAACCAGTCTACGTGCCTCGGTGCACGATACACGACTCGTCGACCCTCATTAAGTAACTGTTCGAGGTTTCTACACTGTAACAATTCCACCAGCTCATTCTACATTGCCAGTTGTCTGCGGTAATGTACCACAGCTATATATTTTTAGTAGGCGATGGTAATTAAAGCAATTTTATTTGATTCAGTACTCGTTAACAGATCTGAAAAAGTCGCAACAAACTTGCTCGCTACAAATGTTCATTCATTCAAATGTATTCAGTAATTATTTAAGATTGTAGCAACGATTACTGGTCAAGTCTTTAATTAACTAGATACAGCTTGTAAGGAAGCGTCAATGTAATTCGACTCGTGTTAGATTCCCGATGGTTCCTTGGTGAAGTCGTAGTGGTGCATTAGAGCAGATCCAAGATCACGCCATGTGACGTCACTCTGCGTTTGGTTTTTTTTTCATTGCAGCCGTGTAATTTGTGTGCAGTTATTGCAGGCGTTGCCACGCAGTCTTGGCATTAGATCACAACCTATAATTTAAATCACGCAGGCCATTTTAATTATATCTATCTGCATTCATTAGCAAGTTACTATTATCTACAGTATTTAGATTAATATGTATATTTTAAAGTAAGATTTTGTAATTGAATACATGATTGTAAAAACAGAAAGTAACTGAATAATCAATTCACAATAGATATTGTTGACGAAAGAAAACTGGGAAAACTTCAAACATAAGTTACATCCATCTGACGTCAATTCGATATATTGGAGTCCAATAGAATTTCATCAAAAATCACCCCAAAACATACCTTGTAAGCGCGGATGAAGCCGAGATAGAGCTCAGTCAAGGAGAAACTTCTGTAAATATAAGAACTGTATCTAATATCAAACAAAGAAGTGAATTATTCATGATAAAGTTTTTCGAGTTCTTCCTTTAACGTCGGTGTACTCTGCTTGGTTGTCTTAGCTGCTTCTTATGACTTCCTGGGAATAAAAAATAGTGGTGACACGTTAAAGACAGGTAATCGCGTATAAAATGGTTGACCATTTTTTATCCTCCATTCTTACTGCCATTTCATAAATATTACATCATTTTTAAGTAACTGTGCTAACCGCCAGCTCCGTGTGTCAGTTAGGTCAGGCCATTTTACTCATACACTGAAATAATTGCATCAGATTTATGACTATATCATTAACGATTGACAAGTAATTTATAGATTATTTTTCCTTAAGACAAATTGATAGGGATTATTCTTGTGACTACAATGGTTTTTTTCTGCATTATTATTATTTTTCCATCTACACCTATAACTACTATAGCAACTACCTACTACATTCTATATTTGTTACCTTATATTCTAGCTGCCTACTATGTTCGTAAATGAGTCATGTGACATTGTTTTATTTTATTTATGTTAGACCTTCATTCAACACATTAAAGCCCAGAGACTCCCATTTCCACCATGGTTATTGCTTGCATCATGAATACATTTTATACTTTTGTGGTTACAGAAAACTATTAAGTTATAAGTACATTACACACAAATACAAACCACCATAAATAAAGTCCCATTCACGAGTCCAAGAAAAGAAATGCTTAATATGAAAATATATATATTTAAACTTATTTCTCGGTTTGACCAATGGTTAACTGGTAGAGAACACTGTCCGGTGTTAAGTCCGCCAAATGGACATAGAATTTTACTGTGCATTAAAGTTTAAATAAATAAATAAGTATGGAATCCTGCATTAAACTATTAGGCCAGTGTTGCAATAGTATCCTCTAAAAATCGTGTTCAGAAGAAAATCGGGTTTCTTCTTGAGATAATTTGTACAGATTAATAGATACATCAGAGAGCATTGCATAGTTTGTTGTTCTTTCCAAAAGATTATAGTAGAAAACTTAACAGAATCATACACTACGATAAATATTTTACAAAGAGAAAGAAAGGATAGATTTATTGTTAAAAACTTTGTCTTTCAGGTAACACTTGGGTTTAAAATTCAACTAGTCATTTGCTATATCAGTGACCTAAACCTTGTTTCTCCTTTACCACTAAATCAGATAAGCAATTAGTCGTGCACCGAAGTGGTCACAATAAAAAAAAAAAAGAAAACAAATTTAAACACAAAAAGTAATTACTAGAAAGATTTTCTGTCAAAGGTCTTTCTGTGTCTAAACGAATGCAGTCAGTCCACTCATATAAAAGTGACTAGGTAGTTTTTTTTCCGTCTAGCCCGCTAACTTACTAGGTCATATTGTCTAGATCTTGCGATTGTCTAGAGTAAATATTTGCTGAACAATCTAAACATTTTGCATATGCATTTCTTTGTCCTAGTTTTATTTGTTTTGTGATTTGTAGCGATTAGTAATGTTTGTTTGAGTTAATGCACAATAGCGATGGAATAAGGGATCTAATATAACAACAATATGTGATATATACCCATATACTTGTATATTGTATTGCGAAAATAAGGAAATTGAAAATTTATTGTACAGTGGAGAAGTTCACGGAAAGATAAATGTCGTATTGTCCAAATGTTATGCAACTTTAAGACTTCAGTTTTTTTTAATGGGTGATATTGTAATAGTAACCCCGCCTGCGCTATCGGTATACCCTGGCAGGGCAACAGTGAAGGATGATAGGTGGCCATGAAAGCAGGTCAGTTTGGCCATCGTGATGAATTCCACTAGAATTAATCATGATGGTTTCCAGGGGGAACTACGTGGAGGTTGACCTAATAGCGTCTATTGCTAGCAATAGAGCTGTCAAACTTCATTGCTAACAATCCTTTTCCCCCACGGAAAGAAAGGGGTAACCCATTTTATGCCGGGATCACACGGCGTATATCTATCTGTATTTAATACTATATTATACGGTACGTCTACAAGATTGCAAATTACCATGTAGTCTAAGTAGCAACCCAGTGTATTTAATTCTGCCTACATATCAGTAATACGATCAACAAGTATCACATTTGTATTGTGGTGTCGTAGCGTCCAACAGACGGAACGACGCCAGTCTGATTGCTATATAAGGATCTTACGTAAGTTTCAGACAATGCACCTATCAATATATTAAAGTGTTTTCTATCACGTTTGTCTTCTAACGCGTGCGTCGTAAGATCTAATTTCCTTTGTTTTTCAGTGGCACTGATAACTAACGACCTCGAGCTGTCCTTAGGACATCAATTGTTTTGTTTTTCTTTCATTGACTTTATCAGGTATGTTATGTGGTGTTATGGGTGTCATATTAGACGATTCCTGCATTTCAATGGCAAACGTTAACGGATCTAGATTATTTATAGTGTTAGTAAATTAAGTTTTCATTCTTTGAACAACTTCAAATGATAAGAAGGTTCCCAATTCGTATTTTATGGGATTTTTTAAATAATTCTAAAAAGTTATATATATAATTTATTTTAGAAACATTAGGATTTACTTCTGTGTTGATCCTATATAAATTTTGTTACATTTCTGCCCACCCTAATTGGAGATAGGCGTGTCAGATGAGTACGTATTTAGGTCGCCCATTGTTTTCTCACTGTGATCATTTCTTTAATTGTTTGTATCTATAATAAGTTCACCATTGTAATCTTTTGGAGGAAACAATAAAGAGTGTCTATCTATCTATGTATTTGTAGACATCGTTGTTTTGAAATTAACATAAATGTATCTAGAAACAGTTGTATAAATTTTTGTCACGTTCGAAGTTGCTGTTCTTTTGCAGGAAAAAATCTTTAGATCTACATGTATGTACTGGTATATTACATAACACTTCTATACAGTCTTAACAACGTATCCACTAATTTACAACAGACTTTAATGATTTTAGTTTTTCAAACAATCAAATTTATCTCTGTATTAGTCTCATACTAGTTTTGCTACGGTTCTTGCCGCTATTTTTTTTTGTGGCACAATGACTTCTCTTGATGATTGAATTTGTCAGTGTTTTCTCCACCGACTTCAAACTTAAGAAGGTTATCAATTCCGTTATATATTTTTATGTTTGTTATCTTATAACTCTCTCAGTTGTTAACTAATTTGGAAAATTCTTTTTTTTTTCGCAAAGGATATACTTTCAGACTGGTCCCATAGAAATTATATCAAAATTGGTGTAGTGGCTTAGTTTTTAAATCAATTTTTTTTTTTTGTAGAGCATAAATAATTTTTATTGTGTAATTTTAAAATGTATCATTGTATGAAATTATGAATTCTAAATCGAAAAAGAAATGTGACGAGGATAAATGACATTCATTTGTCTTACTCTGAGTAATAACTTTCGTTAATAATAATCTGTTTGTAAACATTAAATACATGATAAATACAAATAGGTACAATAAAGGAGAGGTAGCTAATCCCATTATAATCTGTATACCTAAACATGACAAATTTTTTGAAGATAACAAGATAGAGCATGTAGAAAAACAAAAAATATTGACAATTACGAAGTTGAAAACAAATTTGTAATAGATTATAATATTATATTGAGCAATGAAAACGTTTTTAAATGAACACCCAACATTAATTTTAATTTGGATTGGGCTTTTCAATAGTTTGGCTAAGACTGTCCAAAACACGTCAAAAATGGTTGCAATTTTATAGATAATGGCAAACAAAAGTCTACTTTTCACTTTACTTTTACTAACATTAGTCATAACAGCTGGATTTACCAGAGGGAGACTTTGTACAAAAGTCGATTGCTTGGGTACCTCTGTCCTCAAGCAGTTGTGTTTGCATGGCTGTGTTTCGGTTTGAAGGGTGGAATATGGCGTGAATTTACAGGGTACAGAGGAATAACATCTGAGTCCTCAGAAATGGCAACGCATGGAGGGGTATCATCGGTGAAACAGTATACTCTGTTATGTCCATGGTACTGCTCATGTCTATAGGCGACGATTACCACTTTCCATCAGATGGGCCGTCGGCTGTTTGCCATTCTAAGTTGTATAAAAACATTTTATAATATTAATTCTAATAATTCATGTTTATGGTATAAAAATAAACCGTAATATTTTAGAACAAAACATATATTTTGTTTAGTCCTCAATAATTTGTATAGGAAACTTATATGGAAAATCCCATACTGCGTCCAATAATATAGTTTTTTCGTCGACAAATAAGTCAGTCAGTCACCTTTTGTGTTTTATTAAGTAGATCCTCGCTTGTCAAACCCTGACAGTGAAGCAATCAATATGTCTTGTTTACAGATTACATTTGTCAAATGCAATTTATTGTTTCCCCCAAATCCATGGATTACAGTGACCAAATCCCAACAAACAGAGTAATCTCCGCCGAGTGTTTACAGCGAGTGTACGTGATGGGACGTGACGAACACACAGAAAGAAAATAAAGGGAGCTAAAAAGGAAACAGACATACTTATAATTGAGTTTTAGTAACTTTCTAAATTGTACCCGAATATAACAGAAGAAAATTTTACTCACAGGAAAAAACAACGTCAGTCGTAATAAATAAATATTAATGTTTACCAGTAATCTAAATGACGAGATGTTTAGTAGACACATTAGATTCAGTGTGTTTACAGGTAGATTTTATACTTTAAACAATAGCGATATTCATGGTGACAGAATTTAGAGTTAGACAAAGACGGGAGTAAACCTAATTGATTATAAAAAAGATTGGTCGAAATCGATTTAAAATTAATGAAAATATCATTTAAAATTTTTATAAAATCGAAAATATATAACCAGATTGATTATCCCGATACACGTTTAGAAGTTCCTGAAACTGGTACCGGTTTTGTGCAATAGAGAACAACTGTCTTACCTGTTTCTAGCAAGAAAGAGTCTTAAATTGCTTTTTTATTAAGACGTGACATGACATATTGTCTGATGGCTGAATCTATTGTTGTCAATTATATAGATATAGCTTAATGTCTTTTTAATACAAGAAAGATATCTGGTGATATGTCAACAATCTATTCTATCTTCTGGTCATCATAAGAAGTCACTAAAAGTAATGTAGCACAATCTACTATCCAATAAAATCCAGAAATTAAAATCTAAGAAAGAAACTAAACAAACCAAAAGCCCAAACTAATGTAGTAATAGGCTAGTTAGTATCTACTTCTAATGAGAAACCACCTTACAATGGTAATTAGGTTAGGAACGACAATTAGGTTTTAGGGATAGTTGAAAAAAGTTCTTTCATCTATCCAGAAGAACACATGGTTACGAAGTTTAAATTACGTCAGCATCTTACGAAACTCAATGCTACAAGACTTGGTCCTCTGGTTTGATAGATCACAAAGCAATTACCAGCTGCAAAATAGGTTTGCGGGCACCATACCGTTGTATCCGTCCTGTGCAAATATTGTGCGGGCAATATTTGTCGCCGCGTCGCGTCTGCTCACCACCCGACCCCTTATCGAAAGTGATAAATTAATTGATGTCATTTAACACGACGTCTTGTAGTCGTGATAACCCGAGTCTACCTCTGACCTCGATTGTAGAAACGTCATCAGGTTTTAATAGATATCCGTCTGTAAGTGTATTCATGCAGGAGAAATCGAAAGTGCCTCTAAAAGTATTTACGTTTAGTGAGCTTGTTTCATCAAGTATAACGACTGTTTGATATTTAAGGCAAAATTTATAAGAACATGGTTTATAAAATCAACATGAAAGTTTATCAGGATTATATTATCTGTTAACTGTCTACTGCTGAGCATAAGCCTTCTCCAGAAGAGAGTTTTGGCAGTAGTTGCCACGCTTGGCAACCCACCTGGTTGGCAACCGCAGTTAGGCTGTGGTGATGTTTTAGGAGGGACCATTAAATTCATTCATAGACTACTGCCGTTATGGTGAATGTAATATTCGACATGGTCATATTTCGCCAAATGTATTTTAATCCAAAAACATTAAGTACGTAACAGGCGCGAACCTATAGCCGTCTCTCGGCTACAAGAAACAACCATAAGAATAATTATGTAAATATTTCTTTACACAATGTATAAAATTAATTTTATTTGTAACCTAATGAATAAATGAATTTAATCAAATACATAATTTCCCAAGAGAACAAACCAGAGATATTTACTTAATTTCTATTAATGTGAATAACAAATTAGATTACGCATCGTTTATT